GTGTGTATATATATATATATATATATATATATATATGCATATAACAAAAGTGAGAACTACAAAAACGATGAAATTATTTTTTTATATATATACATCAAGTTGTTTCTGTTTATTTGATGTTTTCCCCATATTTAACTATGAACAAGAGTTGGATAAATGCTGAAATATTTAAGCTTTACTATTTATATGAATAAAGCACATTAATAAACATATGGCAAAATACCTGGAATTACAGTAATAGAAGTAATGACGTGCAGCTGCTCATTATGGAACCAAAGTTGAAACTTGTATAAAAGATGTAGTTCTCCTAACGAAGGAATCAGACTAGTTAGAGAAACTTAAATTGATAAGTATTATAACATCTGCTCTAAATTTGATTGGTTTAAACTAAGATCTGGTTTAACCAAATGTGCATGGGATTGGTTCATTGGATCAACATGAAGTTTGACAAGCTTTTAGTCTAATGTACAAGTCTGTTGTACACAAAAAATCAGGTTATGAACATATTTGTACTCAAAATATGTTTGTGAATTGCTGATGTCAGTTTGATTTAGAGTCTAACAAATTGGATATTCATGTGAAGATTAAAAATACTTTTGTCCATTGTACAGTATATTGTATCTGCATAATCAATAGAACCTCCAAGATGCATATATACAGTTTTTTTTTTAAATATCCATCTATTATGATGTGGCATGCACACTTTGGCCCATATCTGTGTACATAGGGTTAAGATAGTGTGTTACTAGCATTTTATTGATACATACTGGTCACCACTGGCACTGTTTAGAATTACAGAATGTAAATTCCCATGCATTATATTTGAATTACATTGTTCACTAGAGAAACCACAAAACAGCTTTGCTTTAGAAAGTTTTGATATTTTCAATTGTCAAATGAAATGAGATAAATTAGGATTTTGATAACAGTATACAATTAATAATTTACCCAAATTAATCATCTTTTAGATCAGGAAAAGTTAACATAATCTGTCCTTTTCTTTAGCAGTAAGTTTAATATTTGGATGTTTGTTGTTTGAATCTGATTACACATATATCAAAAATGACATATGCACCATCTTGTACTAGAACACAATTTCAACTAATTTTCTATTCCACTATTGCTATTTATTATGACCCATATATGTAAAACAGGTATATGAAAAAGTGTTAGAGGTATAAAACATTTATAGTCTGCAAAGAGTTCAAATGAGTTATTTCAGTTGATAATTATTCAGTTTAAGTATTTTGGTAAATACTTTTGAATGAATTTAAGAATTATTTATGATGCAGGATGCTTTTATGCAGAGCAGGGTATCTTGTATATCTCTCGGGTATGAAGTTTGTGACAGTTGTTATGTTAGTTGAGTATTTTAGACATTCTATAAAAAATTTATACAAGCATATAAAAACATCCATATTATATAGTGAAGTGCTTTTATTTCATGATATATTTGTAAAGGAGAAATGTATAAAAGCATTTTCATGAGTGTTTCTTATGGGTATCACTATAGGTGTGGAATTGTGGCATTATGTATGGCCAACCAGATACTGAATAGTCAGGATTCTATCAGTGTAGATAAAGTGCTTTTTCAAGCCCAGCACAAAGGTTTCACTAAGCAAGGAGAGATGTTTTCAGGTACAACATAGTTCTTTAATTATATATATCAAATAGTGTATTAAGAAAGATTAATAAATTTATATCAGATGTTAACATAGTTCTCCATGATGGTTTTTCCAGATGGATATTCTTAATGCCAAGATCCTCTTTGAATTATAATGTTCTTTCTTTTGTTGCTTTGAATAGAATGTTAAACTGTTTGAATTTGATATTACAGTCATGTTCCATAGCATGCTGTAAAACATGAGTTGTTAATGATGGAAGAAGAACAATTTTCTACAATCCTATGCCAGAAACATCTGGTAGTGAATCCAGTGTAGCCTGCCAAGTACAGAGGACACTTATATTGATAAATGACAAGGGATTCACGTTTTTGATTATGTTCTTGAATGGGAAGAAATTTCATAAGTGAATGAAGTTCACATAGATACATTTAATGTGTATTTGAGGATAGGCCTTATTTTTAAATGTTTCATAAGTTAGACCTTAATAACAAGTATTAACTGTCTATGTATGGGAGAGTGATAGTTACCGAACACCTTATCAACTGTCTTGAATTGGAGAAGTATTATTAACTGTACTTAGCATATTATGGAATGTGAGTTTATTATGTGACTGTGGTATTAACTCTGAACAATTTGATGTTCTATTCATTAATATTCAAACAGAGACTGGCCATTAATACTATTCAACCAGAAATAAATGTCATGGAGAGTTCTTTTAATATGTTAATTAGAACATAATTTTTGAAAAATATTTTACCTCCAGTATATCAGGTGTAGAAATTATAAAAGTTATAATTTTTGGGGAGCAGAATAACTGTGGTAGTAGCAACCTCATAGCATTGGGGATACACAATTTCTCCAGTTTGTAACAGAGAAAAAAAAGCAGGTGAGGAAACAATATATATATATAATTTAAGGACACCAAGGAACTAGTTGGTCATCTATGCCATTCCATCCACTATACTAAACTCTAAAATAAAAGTAAAACAATCAAAGCCTTCCTTTAACTCCTTTAAATTAACTGCATCTGAAGGCAACCTATTCCATCCACTATACTAAACTCTAAAATAAAAGTAAAACACTCAAAGCCTTCCTTTAACTCCTTTAAATTAACTGCATTTGAAGGCAAACCATTCCATCCACTATACTAAACTCTAAAATAAAAGTAAAACACTCAAAGCCTTCCTTTAACTCCTTTAAATTAACTGCATCTGAAGACAACCCATTCCATCCACTATACTAAACTCTAAAATAAAAGTAAAACACTCAAAGCCTTCCTTTAACTCCTTTAAATTAACTGCATCTGAAGGCAACCCATTCCAAAGGCCAACCAGCCTGTTAGAAAAATAGAGCTATCTGAGCTGAAGATGACACCTATGTGACCAAAATTTATGTTTGTTTTCCCTAGTCTTACTATTCCCAGCCTTAAATATAAAAAAGATAATGCATCAACACAATCTGAAATACCCCAATCAAATCCCCTGTAATTCTTTTTTTCAAGAGAGAATAATTTCAGAGATCATAATCTATCCTCATATGACTATCGGAAACTTTTTCACGGACCCGACCTCGATGGCGGTACCTTATGCCTCTGCGGAACGCCTCCAGGAACGCGCCCGAGGTTCCGTCGGTGATACCTCGACCGGGAGTTGGCGTCCAATGCCGAGGCTTCCCGCGTACCTGAGGCGGAGACCATACCCCGTACTTGGTAGAGGGGTGACCATAACCTTAGTTTCTCTCTTATATTATGGGAGCAAGTTAAAAGCAAGATATCATCCTAGTAGCTCTCCTCTGAATCCTTTCCAACAATTCAGTGTCCTTTCTAATGACCTATACAATGACATTATAACCTCTTTAGACTTTTATTCATTATTTATGTACAATCTATAATACTATTTGCCCTACTGCTAATAATAATACATTGCTTGGATGGCTTAAGAGTCTGATCAACTGGAACATCATCATCGTTTTCTCCCATAACACTGTTAAGGTTATTCCCATCAAAATTATACTCATAATTCAAATCATGACATTCCACATGCATTACTTTGCATTTATCATAATTAAAAACCATGTGCCATTTATATGACCAACTCATCAAATAATCCAAATCCTATTTTAAATAAGCAGCAGCATCCTCATAGCTAGTAACATCCAGAAATTTAATATCATCAGCAAATTTAAATAATTTATTGACCATTCCTTCAATGATGTTATTTATGTAAACCAAAAAGAGCAAAGATCCTAACTTTGAGCCCTGAGGTTCCCCACTTGTAATGTTAATGCATTTTGACATTTATAACATTCCTTTGCTTTCTTCCAGTCAGTTTTCTAACCATTGAGCCAACCTATCTCCCACACTTACAAAGATAACTTTTTTAACAAGTCTCTTATGTGACACCTTGTTAAATGCTTTCTGAAAATGCAAAAACACCAAATCCACAGCTATAACTTAAACTACATAAGCAGTAACCTCTTCACAAAATGTCAAATGATTAGTGAGATTTTTCCCATAGTGCAATGATACTGACTATTCAACAAAATTTTTATCAAATGACTTTGCAAGGCACATTTTATCACACTTTCAAAATGTTTTCCCACCACTGATGTAATAACTAATAGGCCTATAAATGCTAAGACCATTTTTATCACCTCCCTTGAAAAGAGGAGTAACATTAGCTAACTTTCAGTTTTCTGGCACCTACTCACTCTTCAAGCATATTAGCAAATGGCTTACATATCCAATCCTTAACCTCCTTTGGAACCCTTTGGTAAATATTATCTGGCCCAGGATCTTTATCTTTCTTTAAACTTTCTAAGTGTTTCTTAATTAAGCTCAGAAATAATGTAATAATCTTTTCTAATCTTGTTTTGATCTAGCAACTGTTCAGGATGAGGAATATTGCTTAAATCTTCATCAGTAAACACTGAAGAAAAAGTAGAATTTAATACCTCAACTATCCCGTAATCATCAGATATTAGCATTCCTGTATCATCCTTCAAAGGCCCTATACTCCCATCCTAACATACTGCTTACCCTTAATGTATTTACAGGAACCCTTACTATTGATTTTTTTATATCTACAGTCAACCTTTTTTCATATAGTTTTTTTGGTTTCCTAATTTCCCATTTGAGCACTTCTCTTGATTTTCTATAATCTACCAAACCTCCCATTATTGCAGTCAGTTTAAACCTCTTATATTTACAATGCTTTTCTTTAATTGTATCATTTTTATTCTTTAAGTGCCAACTTGCAACTTTTTTTACTTGCAGCCACCTTTTTGTTCTATAAGTAATATGGCAATCTTTAATATTTAAGAATTTGCTTTTAAGAGTTTTTCCACATTTGGTCAGTATCTCTGTTTAATTAATTTGCCCAATTCATAGCACATGATTATTGTCTCACTTTTTCAAAATTTATTTTTTTGAAATTTGGAACTAAGATCTCGTTATTTTGAGATCTCCATTTGCAGCAAGACATCAAATCTATTTGAGCAATTATCATTTGCACCCAGATTTTCCCCAGTCTGTGAACTATTTTTGCATTAGAAGGTAACAATAAATCTAATATAGTATTGTTCCTAATAAGTTCCCTAAACAGTTGGTGAAGAAAGCCATCCTGAACAGTTTTTAAAAGCCTGCCTCTATCAGGATTTGACTCTTAGCATCTCCCATAATTATAACCTCTTTAACTCTCTCACTATAGGCTCCTTATAGCTTTCATGCTATAACTTTTAATACAGTAAGCATATCTTCACGAAACATTACAAGGTTTCCATATGCAAAATATCATATTTTTGTATCAAGTTTTAATATTTTTTAAGTAATGATTTGTCATACATTTTTTCTTCTTGAATGTTGACTATCCAACATGCAAAGTAATTTTGATTTTAAGATTAAAAATACTTTTAAACATCAGAAAATTTAAAAATTTCACACACAAAATCATTATAACCTCTAGATAATTATCAAACGTTTTTTTTTAAACTATATTTATCTGTTATTTTCACTATTGTATCTCTGTACAGGTTTGGTTGATTTGACCGACCTCATAACCACCATAAAAAATTAGGAAATAGATATAAATTATGTTTTTTCATTCTAGAATGACTACAAATTATAACACAAAAACACAATTGTTTAGTCTAAATAGCTTAATTCTTGTAACATTATACACTTGTATATATTTATTATTTTTATTTTATTGACCTATGAGCTGTGTCTGACTAACATTACAGAAGTTACAATGATGCAGTGCACGTGCACTCGTGTTACCGTATCCAAGAATGTAAAAGACCTTTACAAAGTGACCTGTCTTGGCTGTGTTCTAGTGGACTAGTATTTTGTAAAATACAGTCATATTTTGGTTATAATATATTATATAAGTGCATACATTATTACCATTTACAAATAAGTTCTTAAATTTCAATTATTTTTCTTGAAACATAGAACAGTAAATAAAGATGTATAGAAAACAATAATCTTTTCTAGTTAAAAACTTTGTATTCATTTGCTGTTTGCCGTAGTTGCCAAGCTTTATCAAATTTTGCATGTGGAGGATGTAAAACAAAATGATTTTGTTTAGGTTTTATATATATATATATACACATTTGAGTAACTAAAAAAATTATAAATTACTATATCAATACCATAAAATTCCACTATAATTTATAAAGCATTGTAATTAAGCTGTATTTGGGTCTAAAAAAATATTATTTTTTGATCTCACTAATGTCTTGGAATCTAGCATTAAAAGAAATAGTTTCCTGTGCAAATACTTTGCAGAGGCTGGGAAACCACCAGGGGGACATTTTGAGCTTTTGATTGTTATACACATGTCATTGTGCGAAGTAGGTGTACATTAGCAAATATTTTCAGAAAGGGAAGAGGTGGGTGAGGCCACCAAGGTTGATTCAATAAATATATTACTATCTCAGAAAATAGAAAAGGTAGGAGGTTCATATCTTACATTCTAGCATGTCAATATTTGAGTATTTAATTCATAAGAAACT